TTTCTAGCAAAAATGACGCTTAAAAAAAATGTCACGTATTGAAATTAACCACGTCGGTGATTCAAACAGTATCATTACGAAAATCAAGAACAAATGGTGCCCGTACAAAGTAACCACATAATCGAATTTAAAAATAACTAGCGTTAATGTTCTGTTATTCTCTTTTCAGTTAACAATATATAAACATATTTAAAAATGGAATGATTTTTTTTTAAGTCTTTGTTAGTAATGAGCGGTACGTTCGAGCACTCTCAAGCAAATAAGCGTTTTGAGATGAGGAAAGCTGTTGGACTCCGGAACTTTAATTTCAAAATTCTTCTATTGGTTTGCTATTAAGTTTTACAGCTTTAATACGCCCTTACTTGTTTTACATGATTTTGAAATCGAAAGCCCTTGGAAAAGATTGAGTAAAAACAAGCGTTTCGATAAATTCTAAAAACTCTTCTACTCAAACTCTTCGTCTAAACAGACCCATCTACATCCGACTCGATACCCTACATTTATAAGGTGAACTGTTTGAGCGTAACTCCCCTCCTGGCACAAAAATAATTCGACTTTTGAGTTAAATATGATGTATGATAGAGTCAATTGCTCTCTATAGTGTCGGAATGCTCCCTGCACTCCACGATCTTTCTTTGAAAGGAAATTGGCATTTTCTAGTGTCTGACACTATATGCTGAAAAAACTCGAATTTTAAACTAAAAGCGTCCTTTTCTTTTTTGAAAATTAATTTTTGTCTATGGGTCAGTCTTGTAGACAGACTAAAGGGTTTTCTTCAGAATGAGATATCTCTCAGCTCTTCGCGATGTTTCCTTCAAAAGTTATCAGCATTTTACAAAGAGAACTGCAAAACCTACTTGTACGTGCTTGGTTCAAATCGCGACTCGATCACGTTACATAAAGTACTGACCGCGATAGAACTTTGTTCATTCGAGCTTGAATTTTTACCACACATACTCGACACTCATACACCCAGGATTTAGCTCTGCAGGATCTTTTCTTCATACCGAGAGCGACTACACTGTTGAAGTCTCAAAACCCAACTCTCTTTCGTCCCGACATTTTCTCATAAATTCTCGACGTCTATGTCGGAGAGCTGAATTGCAAAACACCTGAGTGTATCGGAGTCTAGCATCTGTGGTAAAAATGAGAACAGGTAAAGGTCCACAGGCCGGTTATGATGCACAATGTAAAATCTGTCTCTTTGGAAAACCACACCTAAAAGCGAGTTCTAAGGCCTAGATAAAAAATATGTTCATTTTATTTTTGAGAATGAGTGAAATGAGTAACAGAGATAGGCGAAGCACAAAAGAACACCGCACAGTTGATGAAGTCGAACAGTTGAATTTTTGAAGTCAAATGCAAAGAATTTACTTAGGAGCTAGATCATCCAAAAGTAAACTTTGAGATGTTCTCGCGTCCATCCTGTGCACTGCTACAGTGTGTTTTATCCTTGCTGCCCAATCCATACAGCTTCAACCTTTGATTAGTGACCAAAGCCTGTAAACTAGAGTCAAATATCATTTACTTATTTGCTAAAAAGAGAGAGAGCCGTCTAATATAAACGGAGAGTGACACAAGTAGTATCGAGAAGATGGAACGAGACGAGGATAAACAGCCCGTGTTTTCGGAGAGACATCACAGAACAGAAAAGCCATTTATATTTTGCTAAAAAGATGCTTTGGTAAAATTTTTAACTGTGTTCGATCATTCATTATGATTCTTGTACGCTATATGTTTTAGTTTCATATATTTGTTAGTTTTATTTTAAAACCAAATCGATCATTTCTAGTAAACCGACAAACTCATTTCTAGTAAATTAGAAAGCATAAAAAGAATCTGTGTTCCTCGACCACAACAAAACTGAAAGAATTCTTCACAAAAATGTACAGCCCTGCTAGGTTGAAACAGTGCTGAAAATCTTCTTTTTCTTAATGAAGTTGCTTATATAGGATTTAAAAGAGAGCGTGTAGCCTTGTTAATCTAAGGAATAAAAAAGACAAACAATTATGCGAGACAAAGGTTTTTTAATTCCGTACTTTATCTCACGTACTCGTACTATGGGGTGGAGAAGAAGAAAAAGACTAAACAACTGATCATTTTTCGAGAACAGTACGAGGCACCACTTTTTTTATTATGATTCCGATTATCTCTGTGATCAAATATATGCCATAGGGGAAAAAAATAGTTTTTACAAAATTATGATGAAGTGATCAAGCAACAGAAAAAAAAGATGCCTGTGTTACGTAGGTATGTTAAAATCTCTAAACTTCCTAATATGGTATGACATACTGATCGTTGTATTTTGTGAATGTAAAACAGACAGCTAAAGCTCTTTATTTTTGTAGTTTGAAAGTCATTATTTTTTTCTATACTGCCCTAATCCATCCAAAGTCATTTTTCTTTTCTTTGTTATAAAGACTATGAGAGAAAGAAGATTATATGCCGAAGGACATGCAAAAATGAGAAAATAGCAAAGTCTTCAAAAATCATATATAAGTAGATTTATTAATTAAATAACTGGTAGAAAACCGAGAAGATACTGCTACTATTTATGAAACTTAGAGCGAATTTTGAAAAGTTGCGAACATATTATTGTGTAAGCAAGAAACAAAAAATCTGAATATCGGCTGTCAGAGTAGATTGATGATATTGAGCAATTAAGCACTATTTAGGAAAATATTTAACGATCTTTAAGTGTGTCATCGAAGAGCAAAAGAAGCTAAGAGTATGGTTCTTGGATTTTCCTTTACAATTGAATCTATCTGATTGTGCTCTTCTTGAGATGATGATAGTGTATGTAATCAGAATTATAAACTAAGATTAAAACAGAATTATTTTTAAGCATATGATTTCACATATTCTTCCTTATGCTTCGATTTTTTAACAACTTTAAAAAGACAATCTCAATACTTTAAATTTGTCTTTTTCTTACCGAACAAAAGGGAATTAGAACAGGAAAGAATTTAACAATAGCGAGTTCCAATTTCGTCCAGTAACATGAAAATTATTGTTGCGACGAAGTATAACTACTAAATATAGTCAAGTGTTTATTTATTAACGTGATTGTGTGTGTGTGTGCCACAGTTGGTTACATTAGAAAGAGAGAATTTCCCGTCCTGTTAAGGTGCTCCCGCCCAGTTCTTTCCGCTAGTTTGTAGAACACAGTCTGAAGTATGGATCCTGTAAGTTTATCGGTTCCTGGACTTGTAATTTTTGAGAAAAATATTTTTAAAATATTTTTCAGATTTTCCACCCAAACTTTAAAATTTAAATAAAATCATTAAATTTTAAAATAAAGACTCGTTTATTACGTCATCAGATAAAGAACATCCAGTTGTATGTAGGAAAATGGTATTCATTGTTCCAGGATAAACTTTGACAGAGAAATTTAACTTTTACCTACCCGGTGGTATTTTAGGACTAAAAATTAAAAAAAATTTTGAATTTTTTTGTTAAACTTTCTCAGTTTGTAAAGCACTTCGAAGTATATTTCGTGACGTCTTATCGGCTTACTGACACTATCTAGCTGAGAGATAAACCAATTACTTCAAAAATATGTTGCTAAATTTTTGATTTACCAGACTTATTGAACGGTCAAACATGAATTCTAAAACTTTTATGGTAGTCTATCTTGTACTCTGTAAAATTCTCTATCAGACAGGATATTGGTTGAATTTTTTTGCTGAGTCAGTATTTTAGAAATAGAACTTTAAGCGAATAAAGTAAGATAAATGAACACTAATTAGCATTTAAAGTAGTAAATAACAGGAAGGAAAGAAAAAAAAGTTTTAGATTTTTGTATGTACTAAATAATCTTCACATATTTCTCTGTTGAACTACACACGAACCAGATTTTCATTATGAATGGAGAACGAGTAAGAATTTTTTAAAAACATAGACCCGAATTAAGTAATTAATTTTTTTCTTAGCCAGATATAATACCAGTAAACCGAAAATACTTCAGAACATATATTCAGAATTTATTAAAACTGTTACATATTTACAGTTTATCAGTGAGTATCAGAATCGATCATTTTGGAGCTTTAAATTACCTCACCCATCACCAGAACCTTGACATAGTATATTTTTGTACATTTTTATTATATGACTTTAAGATATGTTGCGTAATCCTCTGTTCTTTTTCGTTTAAAGTGTTTTTTTTACGTGGGATTAAAGTGTTCATATTAAAAAAAGTATTTTTTGACACTCTTGTTACTTTGCGTTCAGTTAATAAAAAGTATGATGATATAAAAATCAAAATCAATTAGATAAACGATTTGTGACATACATTAGATTTTGTGTATATATAAGAACAAAAGAAGAAATAATAATTCGATTAAAATAGCTAAAAAATACGTATAGAAGTGACTCTCATGCGAATGCGCATATGATTATACCAATTATTTGTTATTTTTATGTTAATCTATTGCAGAAAAGAAGAGCGAACTGTTTATTATAAACTTATCAAGTAGCTTCGTTCTATTCAAAGACATCTACTCATAAAATCATTAAGGTTTACTGTGCTAAGAGCGAACAATTAATAATTTTATAAAAGAAAGAGAAGAAAAGAAGTTTTCTTATTTTTTTTTTATCATAAAAGAGACTCGATAAAAAAATCGTTCGGTTCATATGTATAAACTTCCGCTTTGCTTTTGATTATTCATTCTCTTTTTCTTCTTCATCTTCATTTTAGATACAGATAGAAAACAACACCATTAAACTTTAGTTCAACACAATACGACAAAATACGAATAATAAATAAATTTCTACTACATGTTTTCTCGTTTTTCGTCAAGAAGACTTATCTAATGTGAAAAAAAAGAAAAAAAAGTAGAATACAACTTTTATCTTGAATATAATAGTTAGAAAAAAAAATAATAGAACTAAAAGAAAAAGAAGAAAAAGAAAGGTGGGTTTTTTCTAAAAAGATTAAACGAATTGTGAATAAAGACAAGTATATTTAATCAATTGACGGATATGTATACAATATCATTAACATGTTTGGTTTATTTTATTGTAATGAAACATTATTAGCTGCTGCTGAACAAGATCGAACATTATTTTTTGTTAGACATTTAGTTAAAAATTGGATTTGGCCAACATTAACATTTTTTGGTATGAAATTTAATTATATATGAGAAGCACTACACTACTATCTATGATGACAGGTCAGAAAGACTAATTTCAATGATGCTCAAAATTATTCGTACATTCTCCACTTAAAATTATTGCAACTATATGAGAAAAAAAATTGTGTTAATAGTTAAGATAAAATTTTTAGTTTATTATTTTAGAATATATTAATAATTTTCATTTTCTCTATAATAAGTTCAACAAAAATCATAGAAAAGTTTTTCATAAATTTTTCATTATATAGGATGACGTATAACGTCATTATCTCAAAATTCAATTTTTATAATTTTAGAAAACCATTTTATTGGAATGTTGCCACTATAGAGTTTTAGCTATCTAAAAAAATGAAAATCTCTATGATTCTTAGCTGCTTAAGAGCAAAAGGAAAATTCAAGTGGTTTTACTGTACGAATAATTTTGACTTTCACTGTATGTTGTTAATTTTATTTTCTAATCAGTTTTTAAGAACTATTTTTGCGTATGTCTACCATCTTTTCTGATATTGTGAGTAAAAATTCTATAATACCGAGGATTTTAGATATGACAAGATAATAATTGACACATTGTACGTGCCCCAAGACTAAATGTCCTTCCTTTTTACTTATTTCTATAACCAAACGCTAGTATTAATATATAAATATCAAGAAAAAGACAAATTCATATTAAAACGCAATTTCCGAGAATTGACATTGATAAATCCATACAATGCACATGTCGATAGAATTATTATTTGTTCCACTCTATATACTCTGTAAATATATTCTATTTTAGGTGTTACTGGAAATATATTAGCCATTATTGTATTGACAAAACGTCGAATGATTATGTCAAGTACAAATAATTATTTAATGGTATTAGCTTTAGTGGATATTTTCTATTTATTATTGACAATGACCCTTAATATTGTTGCTCATCCATGTTTTAAACAGCGAAGTTTTTCGCAGATCATTACAACTATGGCTAAACCGATAGCTGATTGGTCTTCGAATACATCCGTATGGCTTACTGTAACATTTACCATTGAGAGGTACCACCATCAGTGTATTTTACTCATTTTTTAGAATACAACTTAAGTTCTAATATTGCAAGCAAAATGACTAGCTTTTTTTATAAAAACATCACTTGTTAGAGATTTTTTCATGAATTGAGAAAAGGAAACAATATAAATTTTTTTTATCCGATTAATTTAATTCATTACATCCGAAAGTACTTTTATCATAGCCGTAGTTGAAAATGACCACTGCATTGAAATGCAAAATTTTCTTTTTATATCGATCCAACGTTAGATTATTTATTATCTTACATTAGAAAAAACTTTGCCTTTTGGACTGATGTTCCATTCTTTCTATAAACCTATTACATCGATATCTCTTGGAAGGAATCGGCAAATGTAAACGGTTAAACAGAGAGCAAAGGAGTCTTCACTAGCAAGTTGGTACTTTACTTAAAAACACATTGTTGATATTTAAATTAAAAACATAATTTTTTATTTAAATTAGATGGGTAGCAATTACATATCCATTGCAAAGTCGAAGATGGTGTACTGTTTATCGTGCTAGAAGAATTATTGGTGGCGTTCTTATTGCTGCTCTAATAGCTACTCTACCATCAGCATTCGAAATGAAACTTGTTCGTGTTATTAATAATAGGACAAACGTATACAAGATTACAGCTGAGTATACCGAATTATTAAAGTCAAAAATATATCAAAAAATTTATTTTAATTTTGTTACATTTGCAATTGTTTGGATACCACTTATATTATTGCTTATATTTAATACAATTTTAGTTTATTATGTTCATCGTTCAAAAACCACATCTCAAGAAACTATTGACGGTTTTAAACTACGTCGGCATCATCGTACTGCACAAAATGAACAACGAAAAACTACTATTATGTTAAGTATGTATTAGATACTATTTTCAAATATAAACAACTGTAGAGAAAATATCGAGCTATTGAAAGTGTTATTCAGCAATAGGCTACACCGGTAACGATAGTCAAAAGACCGGTTACTCTTTCTTTTTCCAATTATAAAAAAAATGTTAAATTACTTATTCTTGTTTCTTTGTTCTTCAGTTGCTGTTGTCATCGTGTTTACAGTGTGTCAAATACCACAGGCAATTAGCTTAACATTAGCATCGTACAATCATGAATTAGCATCATCGAATAAAGTATTAATCTATAATAATTTTGCCAATTCATTAGTGGCATTAAATGCTTCAATTAATTTCGTTCTATATTGTTGTTTTTCTGATCGTTTTCGTTCAACATTTCGTTCAAGTTTCTCATTCTTATGCAAATGGTATAATGTCTATTTTTCTACTGTAATGAAAAAACATTCTTTTACGTCTTCTTTCGAAAAGATTAATAACCACATTGATAATTCGAGTTTTTCTCTTCATGCAAAAACATTGGATAATGCATTACGAATAAGTAATAGTCGATATAGTCCAATAAATGATATAACTAAACCACTTCGCAACTCTTCATCAATACAACAACAACAAACACAAAAAACCAGTGGATGTTTTCTATTGTCAAGAATAAAATTAAGAAAACAAACTTTATCTGCGTTAGAAAAACAGAAACAGAGAAAGAAGAATAGTTATATGATCAAACACGAAAAAGAAAGTACAGAATCTTCAGTAAGTGAATTATTCACTCTTAACTTGTTGTTAATCTTGCGTTTATCGCTGCTTCTGAATTTTTATACGTCAGAATATGTTTACCTATAGATAGATGTTTTATTAAACAACTGTTAATTCATTCTAAAAATAAACTGAAAAATAGACATATCATGAAGTAGTTTTCTGACGAGCGCCTAGTTTAAAATTACTAAAAATTATCATCTATTTGTCTTCTTTTCAACATATAAAAGGAAATTGTTAAACTATTTAGCTTTCATGTTATGTCTGTCAGTCTTATATCTAATTTACGATGATGTTTTGTTAAATATTGTCATTCTTAATAGATTTTTCCAGCGACAAGTATTGTTGAACACAGTGCATCTATGCATTTGAAATTACCACCTATATCATCTAATTTACTTGAAAAACGTATTAGTAATAATTACGAATCAAATTGTATACAAATGCGATCACCCTCAAATAGTTCACCAAAATTAGAAGTATTAAAACGACTTTCAAGAACGGAATCATTGAAACGAATATCGAAATCTCTTTCACATCGATCGTTGAACAGTGACCCAATCTGTAAACAATATTACTCTAATGAATATTTAAAACAATCAACACCAACAGAAATTCGTCAACAATCGTCTTTACAAACAAATATAGATAATGGCACAGATTCAATTTTTTATTCGTTTTTATCACTAGATTCGATGGCGTCAAATGAAAATCATGATGTATGGATTAAACGATTAGATATACAACGATCTCTTTCAACACCATCCAATTTAAACGAATCTGTGTTATGGGGCGAAATTCTCGATGTACAAGTTTGAGAATTTTACTGTGATGTGTCTATAAAACTGTAATTATGTCATTTATATGTCAAAAAACATGTACATTTTATTTTCTTATTTCGTCGAATATGCGCTTTAAATTATCTTTAACTTCTGTTTATTTTTGTGTTTATTACATTGGGATTCTATACATGCCCAATCATAGTTACCTAAAATTAATTGTCCAAAAAACTGACGAACTAAAATTTGTGAATTTTTTTTTATTTAAGTTATTGTTATTGTTTCATTATTTTTATGATTATACGCTGGTATCTCTTCTATTTACTATTGCGTATTTTAATCGTATTAAGTTGCTAGAGCTACATGTACTCGAGTACAAACTTCAGAATTGCACGAAGAAACGTTGTAGTTTATCAAGGTCATACAAAAAAGCCGGAAAGAAAAACTCTATAGGTACTTTTACCTCTTTTTCAATTTCTCTTGTGACTAGCTGTGAGGGATGAACAATCTCATCTCATTTCTTTTTTTTAATTTGAAAGATTGAGCATACAACATAAGAGTAGATTACTATAAATAACCTACTTATCTCTAACAAATCTTTGAGATTCATTTGCGTTTTATTTTATATGCACTCGACAATGAGTTAGTTATCTTTTTATTATTCAAAACAATCTATAGGTAGAACAATCGATAACATCTAATTGCATCGTTAGGATGTATTATAAAATAACAATAATAGCTGATAAAATTTTCTATTTTACAATTTATACTATCATAATCGATTGATATAATCTTTTCTCAGTAGACAATCTAAATTGGCATTGGGATGATTATCATTTTTTCTCGCTACAGGTATCCAATGATATCTTTTTTACCGTGAACAAAATTATCATAACTATTGACTGAAAGAAACAGTATAATTGAAGACAATACAATAAAAAAGTTCGTTTTAACACCAGCCATTCTGAAAGTGAAAAAAACTAACAAAATCTAAAAGAAAGGTTATTATTATTTGTTGATAATGAACAATAAATTGAAACCATAGGAAGAAAATGTCTGATTTTCAAAACTTCATAGTAATCCATCAAGGAAAAATCATACAGTCATGATTTGATGATTATGGTATTCGTCACATACTTTAAATGTATCATGTTCGAACTTCAATACTGTTATGCCATGTATTGACCTTGAACAAGTTACGAATGTTCATGTGCTTCGATTCATCCATCTGTTAGCTTATTTACCACATTGTGCTGTAAAACACAATTTCTCTGACTTATCAAAGAGTCAGTGTATGGTTTGTAAGTAGGAAAGTATGGAAAACTTTATATCAGACGAGTTTTATATACAGAGTTGTAGTTGTTGATGAGTAAAGAGACAAGTTGTCAACTTAAAGAACCCCAGAAAATATATCGGACTACTTGAAGCTAGCAAATTTCACTTGCCAGCAGCAACGATAAATCACAGGGCGAGATATTCTTCGTCTCTTTTGCTGTCACTAAAATTCCTGTCTTCCAATTGAAGGACATAACGCTACTCTTTTTCAATTAATTTCTTATATCTTTCGTCAAGCTGAAGATGAAGTTCAGCGAAATAATATGAACTTTTCTGCAGTTCTTCCTGTTGGTAAGCACAAAGGACCTTGTGAATGTTATTGTACATTTTTAAGCAACAAAGTAATTTTTCTATCAATAATAACAATTTAATAGCCTAGACACAATTGTATGAACAGATATTTGAAGTTCTTATAACTATTGACCATTTTGCTCAAGTTCACCAGAAAAAAGAGAATTGATTGATTAAGAGAAAAAAAATCATTATTTTAATTGATGTTGAGTTCTCATGCCATCCATATTCTCTTGCATGCAGAAGAAATGCGGTTGTTTCTCATATACGCTCTTTACCTTTTGTATACTTCACTCATTTGAACATATACAAGACTATAGTTATTCATAAGACGAAAAGGTCATAATACGTTAACCAGTGAAAAAAGGTGTCATATTGATAATTAAAATTTTTCCTGTTATTGATAGTCAAGGCTTATATACCACACTCACACACTATGTGCAAAAATATGTTCAGTATCGATAAATATAGAATAACATTTTTTCTTTTCTCTCTCTCTCTCCCCCTCTCTTTTTCTACCTCACTCTTGTTCAAATAGTCTTAAATGTAAAACAATATATACATATATCGATTGGTTTATCGCAAATAATTAGCATCATTCTTCTGCCTCATATTACAATTGAAACGAGCGAGATGATGAGCAAAGTCAAAATATTGAATGTGATATAACAGATAAACTACTTCGTATTTAAAATCTTTAATTTATCAGGCAAAATGGAACATTGTTCTCAAAAACACAATTCAAATAGTTGGACACAATCAAAAATTATTCGTATATTTCAGTTTCGAAAACATGTTAAAGGTAAATATTAACCGTTAATTTTTCGATAAATCGCATACTTTTCCATGTGCAATATAGTAGGATAGTTATTTCGTGTTTTTATAAGAATCAAACATGTATGAAAGAATACCTATTGTTTTACTCTAAGAATCTATGATAAATAAGCAAATATACCAATTATTTTTCTATCTGTCGTTGAATATCATATCTCCAGAAGATCGTTCTTCACTCACTTAACGAAAAGAATGTTTATTCCTTTGTTAGAGTAAGCTATTTCTCAGATGTATAGTTCGCTGTGGTATAACTATGCATTAGTAAAGAATTTGTGGAGAAGCACAAAGCTAAGCATTGATGAATATTCAAACCGATTAGTCAAATTAATCGTTATCTGATAACTGTTTATTACGCATAAACGACATGCTTGTGGCAAAGTTAACACAAATGTGTGATAAACGTTTTAATAATGCATAATTGAACAAGATAGAAGTAAATTTATGAGCTTAATTTTCAATAGATAAAAAGATTAACAAACTTGAATATCTTGAATTTTTTTTGTATTGTATAGCAAAACAAGCGGGGTGCTAGCTCGATTCGCTTTACTGAGTATTACTGTGTATAGATTTCAAAAACTTTTTTTTCTATTATACAGTTATAAACTAGTCTTGTATTGATTTTTGATAGAGGAAAAGACAGAACAAGTATATTGACTATGTATATATATATGTGCCCACGTACATAAATGAAAAATATAATTTCATATTGCAGATGTTGATCCTGAAGTGAAAGAGAGAGAGAGGAGACTATACACTCATTATATACCTCAAGTAGCATGCTGAGAAGATTTCATACTAAAGTTTTCTTAACTTTCAACAACCCTTAAGTAACAAAAAAAAAACAGAAGTAAATAAATATAAAAAGAGTTTGGTTAGAATATTATGGAGAAAATGTGGGACGGATGCAACATATTAAGTAAGATATCATATGTGTTTAGAGACTTTTCCTCGTCAAGATTTTGTATCAAGGTAGAGTAGAAGTCTTACATTTGAATATCTTTTCTTAACTCTGCTTCTATAATGAATAATAGCTTGATGTTTGTGTATTCAAACACGTGTTAGTTTTTCTTCAAACTATCAATATTTAATGTTTATTCATTTTGATCTTAATCGTCTAATTTCTACTACACTTCCTTCTTCTTCGTCTTCTATAGACTAATTAAACGCCGTTCTTCTATTTAAATACATTTGTTTTTCTTCAAAGAGATATGTACACAGAGACAAAAAAAAAAATATTACATCTACATAAGAAAAGTGGATAATACATAATACTTTAAAAGGATATAGGTCTGCCAATGTGTTAAAAAACAAATTTTATTTCAAATTATACTTAAACGGTTTTTTAAGAGCACTTCTCGATAGTCCGTCTTATTCAATTTGCATAATATTATCTACATTAAAAGATTCGCTCAATTTTTTTAACACAATGTGTGGTCTTTCATGGTGTCATCAGCTAACGAATGAACAAAATTTGATGAGTATTGAATGCTTGTCACATACTTTATAATCAAAGCTTGTCTATATACCTCCATAGTCGAACAGATTGGAAACAGATGTATATTGATAGACATTGGGTCATAAAAATTGCTCGAGAGAAAATGATGTCAATAGTATTATAATAATACATTCATCTTTTCTGACACACAGACGTTAGAGTTGTTTTTAAAAAATTTTTCAATGAACTCCAACTGTTGGGTAGAGGACAATGTTTCAGTTTTTCCTCTCTTTTTTTTCTCCTTTAGAATTAACCAATGTATGTAAAAAGATCAATAAAGATCCGTGTCATGAATTCGTATCATCAAAGCAGACATCTGCGAGTACCGATACATTACCAACTAAAAAAAAAGAGTGTTCATCAAAACCCAAATTACAAACATTACGAACAAAAATTAATGATTGTAAAAAACGTAGTAAAAGTGCTTGCCGTTTATCAACAAGAATTCGTCCAGAAACAGAAACAAAATCTACTGGAAACTATATTAAAAAAACCCAACATCAAGGTTCATTTCGAAAAATTCATGTCTTATCAACTATTACCAAAGAAGATTTGAATACAAGTACATTAGCAACAGAATTGAATCCAACATTATCGGAAAAATGTGGAGGATTTTATAGAGAATTAACACTAGCAACAAGACAATGTCCGGCAATGTTAGATATGTTGGTAACACAATCATATAAACCGCTACATCCTAAATTCAAAGAAACAATTGCCGTTACCAAAGGTAAGTAGTCGAAATAAAGGCTTCTTTAACAGATACCTTCATTCGGTTGGTATCCGCTGTCTCGATCAGGTAGGGACAAGGGATACTAGATCCTTCTTGAATTTTCTGGCATTTCATTAAAATTTTTGTCATGATTATTTTCCGTCGCGAAAAATGTGACTGCAACATAAAAAGCTGTTTACGGGCAGATCTTCTATGTTAATTTTCAGCAGAAATGTTCAAATCGGAGTACGTTGTTTTTTATATTGCTCGGAAGTCTATTTTTCTACAAAAATGAACCATAGTATGTACCTTAAATTGAGAGCAAACAACGAGTTAAAATAAAAAATATTCTATTTTTGTTTCATCACTTTCCGCAAGACTCTTTTGTAAGCTTGCTGCTCGAATTGTAGTCTTTGAACAATCGGGATCTCTAATCGATATGAATTTAAATCCAATAAAGAAAAATATGGAATATATGACGTGAAATATTCGTTACTTCCCGAACGCTGCACACTTTTAATTAATTTTAAATTGAGATCCAGGAATCTTCAAAGGCGGTGGGTGAGTGGGTGGATGAAAGTGTGCGAAGTTTGGGCATGAACCGAAATATTCTATTATGAAAATTATATAGTTTGTTAAACGTTGCTTGAAATCAATATATAATAGACAATCGTTAACATATTCAAGTGAAATTATTAATTGCTTAACACTTTACATAGTCATGACTATTAATAGAAGCAAAACAATGTGTCGCATTCAACAAGTAAAATAAAGAATTAAGATTATCTAATAGACCTTGAAATGAAATTAAACGAAAGTATTGTTCAGTAATTGTCTATACTGAAAAAGGTGTTACGATAAATAATAAAACATACGCAAATTTTAGTTACACAGACTGTTTTTTAATATAGCGAGTGTACTGTTGAACATAGTCTAAACATAACACTTCAATCATGCATACTAAGAAACCACTGACATACATATACATCAATGTTGACCATTTTTTCCTAAAATCGTCTCGTTTCGAATTCATGTATGATGAATTCATTCATTTTTATAAATTTATATTCTTTCTTAATCAAAACAATATTTATAGGCAGACAAGTTGTTTCCCTCATTGATAATCAAACCTTTCTATTTATTCGTTCATTATACAGTATTGCGAGCGTAAACACACTAATTTGTATTTGCTGACTTGTTCAAACTATAATAATCAATGTGAATAGAATATACATCTATAGTAAACCTGTATATACACGTTGTTGATCTATTGACAAGCTCATTTCTGTTTATCAAGCAAACACATACTTTTTGAACTCGAATATCATTTAATCTACTTACATGATATTTTTTCTTCTAAACCACTTTGCTTCAAGAGAAATACTTGCAGGCTAATCTTGTACGAATTGTCTTAATTAATAACTTTTATATACAGACCATATTGAAAATTCGAATTTTTAAGAAAGTTGAACATTTGAATACATCAGTTTTCTTCTACGAGAGAGGTTGGGATTAGAACAATTTTAGAAGTTATTATCCTGGTTTCGATCTTTCGACCTTCATATGTTGCACTTCTCCATTTTCCCATTGCACTAAATTGTGAAAAAGGCAACTACGAGTTATGATGATACATTCGCCGTACACTTATGTATATATTTAAATAGTCTTTACAAGTAATCATTTACGTGTTACTAGCTATACTACAGATAAATGTTGTGGGATCTAAACGGTATAAAATGTCAGCACTGTAATCACATAGATGGCTGATAACGTTCTCTGAAGATGAGAAAATACCAAGTTTTGCGAGTATGAGTGTTCAAAAATTGAACTGCAATATATTCGTTTTACAAGCCCGAATACACATGCAAGATTTCTAAGATCTGAAACACTACGAAATAAGTTTTTTAAGAATTAAATACTTTTTCGAGCGATCACTTAAACAATCTCAGCTACGAGTACGAGTACAAATATAGCATATTTTTGTACTCGAGAAGTATTCGCTCATGCTTCTCATTCTCGTCTCTTTCCATAGTTGTGGTAAACGTTTGACCGTTCTAACGTTTATTCATTTCCTAGACTTTGTAATTTTAAGATTCGATACAGAATCTTTACTTGTCAAGATCAGCATACAATTTTTGTCTATTCTAGGTATGATAGTCAAAGCATTATTTGCAACGTCGAATTGGGTATGGATTGAGACATTATGTAAAAAACAAGGTTTCGTACCACTTTATTGTCTTTTACCGAATTCTTGTTCTACTGCTACAGATGAAGTATACATTGAACCTTCTCAAATATCATGCCAAACAAATGAGAAAAAGTCAGATGACGATAGGAAAAGTGCTCCAGTACCCTGGTGTTCTTCGTTGTCGTTACCCTCCACCAATTATAATTCACAAAATAATCTTAGTTTACTGAATGTTAGTACGGCGGCTAATGGTTATGATGAGCAAGGTTTATTGTGTGAATATTCGACTAACAATCATCAGACAAAGACAACAAACACTAATTATTACAATCATGGACGTTTCAATCAACAACAATCGGCTACGTTGTCTAATTCCTCTCACCATCGACCGCGTTTATCTATTAATAATCGTTGTTACAATACATTATCGAAATTACCATCAAATTCTAATGAAACAAAAGGTTTATTTGTTTCAGCCATCGGTCCATGTTCTTACAACGATGAATCAGATTATTGTCGGCGGTTTTTTAATAAAAATGGTTCCTATTTAACGACCCCTCGTAATACTATCAAAGATGAATCAATGTTATCTCGACAAATTTCTAATATTTCACTCGATCCGTATGATACATCATTGAATATGACACCTTCAATACTGAATAGAAAAAGTTTATCGATAAGTACATTTGAACAATTTGCGAAAAGAAATCTCACAGTGACAAATCAAATAAATACCAATAACAATCAAGAATCATATTCTTTAAACTGTCGTCTACGTGTTATCGATAATTATCAGCCAACATTTCACGGTGATGTCAGTGTTCTAGATGGAGAAGTTGTCACATTAATTGAAAAAAGTCCAAGAAATCAGAATTTAACAGATTGGTTATTTGTACGTCGTGGTGATGGAAAAACAGGTTATGTGCCAAAACAAATTATTTTACTAGATAAACCGTACTATAAATAATCAGTAATAACTTGAATTTAGAATTTGAAAATATTGAAATATTTCTTAATTGGATCTTCATAAACCAAGATATCAATCGGACTAAAATGATTGCACTATAATTTGCACATTGTAACACATTTTATTATGCTTTCTTTTCTACTTTTTTTGCTAATTTATTTTTGTACCAATTAAATGTTTAAAATCAAAAGATTCTAAATGTTGTTGGAGAGAAAACGGATACAAACATCATCGGAAATAGAACAAGCAGACGTCGGTTGAAAGAACAGTAGTAAATAAAGCGAGTATAGAACTCAAGGGGGGAAAGCGGAATGGGCTGGAACGGGCCATTCCAAAACGCCTTTTCCCCCTTGATAGAACTGCTACAACTATCATTTTTGATTTTATTCAAAAATCACAACTAAATTTGATAGTTTCGAGGTTTCAATAAATTACACTTATCACCGTCACGAAACATATTGTATGAATACAATTTCCTTGTTTCCTCTTCGTTCTTAGAAACTACTCCCGAATAGTTTGTATAATTTTATTTTTCTCCTCTTATTCTTCATCCTTGTAGTTGTAATTAAAATTTGATGTATATATACAGTGAATTATATTTTTTTCCGTATGTTTCCTGAAGATGATAAGTGTAATTTATTGAAACCTAGAAACTATCAAATTTAGTTGTGATTTTTGAATAAAATCAAAAATGATATATGTAGCAGTCCTATACTCTCTTATTTCTTAAGGGCCCCCTCCCTCAGAAATGGTGATTTTCGGTCAAAAAATCGGTTTGGAGATACGCACATGAAAAGATAGCCTGAAGTGTCTATTTCCAGAATCTGTATTGCTTTTGGTTACAAAAATGGTTTTTCCGGGATTTTGAGCAAGTTTTTTAACAGTCTCGAAAAAACGGGACTTCAAATAATGGTTTTTTCCTGGACACTTATGCAATTAAAATTTTTCTGAAAACACAGCTTTGTAGAGCAAACGTTTCTGATCAAAATAAGACTGCGCACAACTCTGTATGACCTTGCGTCAAAA